GAAAAGAGCAGAGCAGATTTAAGGTTCAAATTTAATAAAACCAAGGTTCACCAAATGTAAGTAATATGCAATTAACTGGAATTGTTGGGAATGCAGTTATGTTTATATAGTTATGGCAATATAAAAATTTGCACACTTTCCAAACACAGAGTACAAGGGATTGGATTAGTCCTAAATCCATGAATAATAACATCAGCCATGATTATTATGATTTTCTACATAAACAACACAAAATAAAACTATTTGGAATTTTATCCATTTATTTCATAGATATAAACAATTCATTTTACTGAGTGATGTAATTTTTTAAAAAATACAAAATCATTAATCAATTATTTTTGTCTGCCTTATGATTATTGCTTCTTTTAAGGTGCTGTAACTGGCATCTTAAATTTATTGGGGAAAAAACCCACAAAACGTGCACTGCCATCAGAACTGTCTCTCTGCAGCAAATCTAGGAGGACAAAAGTGTGTCACACTGAAGGAAAACAGAATCACTCACAAACAGTCTGCAACAGGAACGCTCACCATTTTTTGTGCTGTTGTTAAAACTCTGGAATAATAAGTAACAGTCCAAAAAGGTAAAGATCCTAAAAGGCACAACTGCTGCATGGTTCTGGTAATAAAGGCACATTGTAAAACAGCCACACAGGCTGAATACTTAAAATTCCTAGGCAAAACTAATGAAAAGAACCACAGATAAACATTAGAAAATTTAAATCTTCTCAACAGAGCAAGTCTCATCTTCTCATCTTCAAAAACTTGACAGAGCTCCTTCATCTTTTCATACATTTGTGCATACATTATTATTTTTTGGTATTTTTTTAAAAAAACAATTGCATGGAAGTTGGTGGTTTATAGTTGGCATTTATTTCTTTTCTTAATATATATATATTGCATTTAAATTCATATTTAATTACCACTCAAAACCACCAGCAACAAAAACAAATCCCCCGACTCCTTATGGATAAGTTCCAAAAGTCTTATTTTTCAGCTATATATAAAATATCATGTAATTGCAGTTAAAACCTTCCTAAAAATGTAATTCTTTTTTCTTAGGAAAACCTCCCACAGTCTAACAAATAAAATTGCAACCCACTTGGTAACTGCAGGAAGGTTTGAGTAATAGGCAGTAACCCTTGAGAATATGTTTTAATTATATATGTCTTTATAAACATGTAGTGGAATTGAAAATTTTAAGACTCATAGCAAAAAAAAAAAAAAAAAGGTAAAAACAAAACTAGCAATAAATACAGTTACCTTATGCTTTTAGCTAATTGTGACACTAAAGCCAGAGAAAAGAGACACATTTCAATTAGTAATTTCAATGCTGTGGAGAACAGAAATTCTAATTATTTTTTTTTTCCAGCACGTATTTATTAGAAATTTCAGTACTGGCAAATTAATAAATGACATGAGAGGCCCTACCTGCTCCTCTTCCACCATGACAACAAGCACTGGGAACAGGCTACCCCAGCCAGCTCCAATCCTCTCACATCTCTGACAGCCACACAAAGTTTTAATTAGTTTGCTAGTTCAGGGCTTCCTAGAATAAATGCAGTTCTGTCATTTCTAATGCATTCTCATGATCAGTTAATATATTTTTGGATTTTTTTTTTTTTTTTTTGCCTCCAGCTCAGACAGCCTTCTTGTCTTATAATTTCTTCTAAATCAGTTCTTAGGTTATCCATATTTTCTCATCTGGAACACTAATGAGCTTGTCTAAAATTCACTTTTAATGCACCATTCTCCAACCCTGCCTCACTGAGATGTTCTTTGTCAAACCCACATCACATTTCTGCATTACTCTCCAAAATATCAGTAGAAATCAGTAGATGTGCCATCATCTGGAAATCTGTCAGTCATGTGCCTACATGTACACTGAGTTCAGAGTCTAAGTTCACACATACAAAGGACTAAATTAGCACTTTTGGGCCCTAAAACTTGTACACCACAATTTCCAGTTTTTCCAGCATTGTCCAAAATTATACAGCACGGAGAACAAGAGGGTACTCTGATTATTCAAATGCAAATACCAAAATAAAACATTAATTTCTCCTGGTGGTGCTGGAAATCATAGGATCAGGCAAATTTTGGCTGTAGGGGACTCAGGATTTAATCTGCTCCAAAATGTTGGTCAAAATTCCTCTACAACTCCCTGAAAGGAGGTTGTGCCAAGGTGGGGATTGGCCTCTTCCCCCAGACAACCAGCAAGAGAATGAGAGGACATGGCCTCGAGCTGTGCCAGGGGAGGGTCAGGTTGCTTTGTTTTTTTTAAAGTTTTTTTTTTAAAGTTGTTTATGTTTTTATATTTTATTAGAGGTTTTATACACTGTTTATGTAAATAATGATTGTTTTACATTATTCTTTGTGAGAAGAGAGACTTGATAGACAATTAATTTGAAAGTATATCTGGAGAGGTGGCAATTTCATCCTCCAATCCACTGTCACTTGTAAAATTCTATATATTATAAATTAGAAATAAAGTTATTTTTTTTTGAAAAGAAGAAAAAGAAGAAGTTTTATTTCTAACTTTATAATATATAGAATTTTAAAAGTAACAGTAAATTAAAAAATAAAATTACCACCCCTCCAACTATACTGATCAAATTAATAATCTATTAATTCTCTCTTCTCACAAAAAAGTACAAAACAATCATTACTTACATAAACAGTGTGTAAAAACGCTAATAAAAATGTTTTAATATTTTATAAAAAATGTTATAGTATGTTTTAATATTTTATAAAATATTTTTAATATAACATTAAAAAAAAAACAAAAAAAACCACAACAGTGTCAAGTTGGAGGTCAGGAAGAATTTCTTCACTGAAAGGGTGGTCAGGCACTGCAACTGCCCAGGGAGGTTTGGAGTCCCCATCCCTGGAGGTGTCCAAGGAAGGACTGGGTGTGGCACTCAGCACTCTGGGCTGGGGACAAGGTGGGGACTGGGCACAGGCTGGACTCAATGACCTTGGAGGGCTTTTCCAACCTGAATTACTCTAAGGAAGTAGGACTGCCTTCAAAGGCTGCTCAGGAACTTTTGTGAAAGTTCTGCTGCATTTTGTGGCCATTAAATCTCTCTCTTCTATCCAGTGACCTGTTTCAATGACTTTTGGAAGAATTTCCCATCTCTAAGATCTCCTCGTTAAACAGCTCAGTTGAATCCACAAATGGACTTCAGAGCTCAAACTGAATGGGATTAAACACCTATACATGTATCTATTTATTTATTTGCCAAGATAAAGTTTCAAATTAGATGTTCTCTCTCTCAGGAAGGAAATTGCTTTGAAACTTTTTAAGGAGATCCTAATCTTTGCACATGGTATCTTGTGGAGGCTGCCACCACACAGGCAGAGGTAAACCAGAGACTATTCCTGACCTGACCAGACTACAAATACTATTTCAGGCAGAGAAAAAAAA